CGTCGATGGCGTCAAGTCGGTGCCGCTCTTGCCGCCCTCCAGGTGAGCCATCCGTGGCACGGCAACAGTGCGGCGGAACCGCTGTCTGTTGGAACCAACGCCGTGATCGCCTGCCTGATAGTTGGTACTGGGGCACCTTCGCCTTGGCAACCTCAACATTTTTTTTTTCTTCACTTCAAATCAGCGCTCACAGCACTAGTGCCGTTTACTCCAACCCGTGGTCACACAGAAGAGCCCCTCTCTACCCTCCCCTCCTGCGGTACTTTGCCTTCGATTTTTAATGCGAGAAGAGACCAGCACTCTCTTCCCTCTGCGTACACACGAACTAGCGCTATCCACTAGGCCAGGAGCGGAAGCGAGAGAAAAACTCACTTTGCAAGAACAGCTCGCTTACGCCGGGATTCGAACCCCTGACCTGACCTCTAGAAGGTTGCGAGGATACCAACTAGACCACCGGCTATCTTCGGGGTAGAGAAAACACTTCCGTTCCGGGGGGGGGGGTCAACGTGTTGTTGCGCTCTTTTGCCCGGGTGTCAACCAACGTCTTAGTCTTCCATTGTTAACACGCGCGGCGAGCCGGCCCAGGTGGGTCTTATCCCCCGAGATTTAAATCTAACATCGAATTCGATTTCGAAGTCTTTCGAAGTTAAAGTCGAATTTAGGTTTCGAGTTTGCTCTACTCGACAACCAGGGTGATGGATCGAAATCGAAAGTGGAAAACAACATGGGTGACACGAAAAAGGCCTGAACGTGTCCGTTGCAACAGTTCACACCATGCCTATTAGAGCCACAGGGCATCCCAGACATCGAGCGACATTTCCGGATGGTGGCTATGAGCAGGCGGGCTGGGAAAGCTTGGCCTCGCACCGATACGCTGCGAACTCAGCGAGCAATGTGCTATTGAATACTCGGGTCTGATGCAGGCAGCAGTTTCAGGATGCAGGAAAGCCGAAAACGATGCCGTTGGCAGAGAAAGAAGTCCACGTAGATGAATCTCCCTCTCTCAATTTAGAGCGGATCTCGCTCAACGAAAGTATGCTGCGCTCGGCTGGGTGCCAGCTTCATGCCAACGTATTTCTTGCATCACAGTGCGGGCTGTGGTGGCTAGATGAGCGGCGAAATGAAGGCATCTCCGACTTTCAGAGAGTCTTTCAAGCAGCTGGCAGCTGGCAAGGAACTTGATGTTCCCGTCCACGCCTTCGATTTTCGGTTTCGATCATTTCAGTTTATCGCTTTGATTTTCCATATCGTTTAGCTTTCGGAACACAATCCTCCATATCGAAAATCCGGTGGCGGAACAAGGGTCCGCTGTCCAATCAGTGGGGTCCGCTGCCCAATCAGTGGCATATTCGATTTCCGATTTCCGATTTCCGATTTCCGATTTTCGATGGAACACTGCGGTGACAGGGCCCACCCAAAGCCAACGCCCGCGATTGGATTTAATCACTCCCCCACCCTCCCTGAGTTACTTGACCATGCTTGAACCGTTCTGTTGAATGAGGCACCGTGGCGTACAGCAGTACGGGCCCGGAGATAAGAAACGTCAGAATCGGGTCGAGCCTCAATCCCTTATTTTGGGTCCAAGGACCACCCGAAGTCGTCCGTTTTCTTGAACGGAATTTCTTATTCCTTTGGAATATCGCATAACCGGTCGCCCCGGTGGTCTAGCTGGTTTCCTCGAAACCTTCTACTTGTAGAGGTCAGGTCAGGGGTTCGAATCCCGGCGTAAGCGAGCTGTTCTTGCAAAGTGAGTTTTTCTCTCGCTTCCGCTCCTGGCCTAGTGGATAGCGCTAGTTCGTGTGTACACAGAGGGAAGAGAGTGCTGAACTCTTCTCGCATTAGAAATCGAAGGCAAAGTACCGCAGGAGGGGAGGGTAGAGAGAAGCTCTTCTGTGTGACCACGGGTTGGAGTAAACGGCACTAGTGCTGTGAGCGCTGATTTGAAGTGAAGATTAAAAAAAAAAAAAATCCTCCTGATTCTCTTATTTCTTGCTTCGTTTATTTTCTTATCTGGCTAAGAATGCAACAACACACCAAACGGTCATCATGCCGCTTATCCAGAAAGAACGCTCGGTGTGGCGAAAGAATAACCACTCTCCCCCCTACAAAATAAAATGCACTGTTCAGCTAGGTAGGGAGGTGGGAGCACGGAAGGAGCAGAAGTGGGACGTTTCTTATTGGGCACGCTTCTCCAGCTACCCCTGCTTCTTATGTCTTGGGGGTATCATCGCACCATCATGTTTGTTGTTGGGGCGTTTCTTATGTTGTGGCCGAGATTGAGCTGTGTTTCTTAGCCCTTTTTTCTTATATTCAAAGAATTTGAGCCTTTCTGAACAGAATTTTCGTACCTGCGGGCCCATACTGTACATCACATACAGTAGACAAGCAACGGCGGCAACAGTCTGCCATTCCCTCAGTCATGCCTTGTGCGGTCGATCTTGCATGCCTTGCGAAATATGCGATATAGATGGGGTGAAAACACACACCCACAACTGCCTGCGTTGTTTCCCTCGCGTAGCTGAACGAAATACGTGTCGACTTTACCTGCAGCACAGCGCCTTTGCCAAAGATCCACAATAGATGGGAGGAAAACACGTACACACAAGGTTTAATAAACTGCCCACCCGTAACATAAACGACCCCAAACAACTGTTTCAAACAACTGTTTGTGTTAACAGCGTAAACAAGCCCTCTGCTTACGTTCCTGTCATGTCGACCTCACCGCGCAACCACTTCCCCCTCCTCGTCCTCCCGTTTCCCCCCCCCCCGCCATTCCGTCGACGTTCCTTTCTGCCCTCGACGCTCGCTCCCCGTGCGCGCACAGCTACTCCTCCAACATCGGCGCGATTTCCGGAAGGATGGAAGGCCTCTCGGTTGGGCAGGTTGCGGGGGCAAGGTGAGAGCTTGACGTCCTGCTGCCAGGGCGTCTGCCCCTACCGGCAACACTTTTTTTGTGTCTTCATGTAGCGAAGGAAAGTCCTGTACGGTTAATTAAGCAAACCTCGCGCGGTGCAATTTTTGTTCCCGTAACGCCGCAGTCATGGGTCGTCTATGGGGCGACTTTTTTGGGGTGAAATCTCTTGGCAGAGATACGTAGAATTTTCAAGTTTTTTTTTAGATACTCAGGACACACGGACTGGTGTGGTTCGTTCCCTCTGCCTCCCGCCGCCGCCGTTATGTTTCGGCTCGAAAAACGCCTCCTTGTACCTTCTGTCTCTCTTAGAGCCGCGGCCTCGAAGTTGAAGAAGACGGCGGCGGTGCCAACCCTGTCGCGCCCCCCCTCCGACCGAAAGCGGGGGGGAGGGGACACCACGGGGTCCCCCGATAAGACGGCGCCCGGCGGCGGCGGCGGCGGCGGTGGGGACACGGTTGACCTCTTGAGCGGGTTCGAGCTAGACGGGGCCAGCAACAGCAACGTGAACAAGACCGCCGCTGCTGCGGCAGCAGCGGCCGTGGCGGCTCCGGCGGCTGCGGATATTTTCGCCGGCTTCGGGGCTCCTCCTCCTCCGGCTGCCGCCGCCGGCGGTGCAACCGGCGGGGATTGGGTCGTGGTCGGAGGAGGTGGGGATGTTCAAGCGCAGGGAGACCCTGGTGCTGCTGCTGGAGTAGCCGGGGGGGGGGCAGCGAACGGTGAGAGGTAGAAGGAGAAGAGGCTGGACTTGGAAGTCTTTTGGTGTGGGAGGGACGTTCCGCGTGAGGGTACGCGTTGGGGTTCCGCCTGGGGATCGAAATGGCGACAGACAGGACACTTTGGAACCCGTCTTTTGTAGTTCTTGCGGAGGGGACCTGCTGCGTCATTGCGTGAAGCTCATCGTTTCCCCCGTCCGCTTCTCACCCTTGCTAATCACGACCGGCTGGTAGTCATTGGTGTGAGAGTACGTACCTCATGCATTTTTTCATGTAGGACTACGAGTCTCCCTGCCCAACCCCCCCCTCTAGTTCCCTGCAGCTTGGAACTTGGACGTTTTTCGCGCCTTACGCACGCTTTCAACTGACCACGTAGCCTGAACTTTTCATGCGCATGTGCGCAATTGTGCGCATGTTTCTGTCTTAGGAAACCGGCTCCTCCCTCCGCCCGAACCAACCCAACGAATCGTTATTTTCGATGGCGTCATGACTTTTTGTCCAATTTCAGACGGGCAGGCGGCGTTGAATAGCAACCCGGCGCTACCACCCGGCGGCGCCGCTACCACCCCCCCCACCGCCGCCCCCACCACCACCGCGGGGCCCCCCTCGGCTGCCGACAAAGCCCAAAGCCTGATGGCCAACCTCGGGGCGCTGTACGCAGTGGGAGCGCCACCAACGACAGCGATGAGCAGCATTGGTGGCATGTCAGCAGCCGGGCCTATGGCAGCGGGCAGTAGCGGTCCTACCACTGGGGGGGCGTGGGGCGTGGGGGGGGGGGGCAACCCGGCGGAAGGGGGGGCCATGGCGGCGTTTGATGGTGGGCAGGGGGCGGCAGGGCCGCCGGGGGGATGGGCAGGCTTTGCTGGAGGGAGCGGCAGCGGCAGCGGGATGCAGGCGCAGGTGGGTGTGCGGGGGTGGAACACGGGTTGGGGGATTGACGTATCTGCTTGTCTAGAAAAAAGGGATGGTGTAAACACGATATGGAGTGTTTGTCGTCCGTGCTGTTTTCGTGGTAGAAAGAACATGCACGATCAAGATGCGATAACTTGTGGGAAACGAATATTTTTTTCGCGAATTTCATGAGGAACAGCTAGAATACATTACCTGGAGAGTGAAACGAGAGCTGGCGAACAGACGAGACACAGTGGATACGCACACGCCCGTCTGCTTGTTGGTGTTTAGCCTGTTACACCCACAGGCGAATTGCCACTGCGTTTCACGCAAGGATACAGGTGGAAAACGCAGCTATGTAACCCGTAAACCACTGCTGTGGGTCAACCAACCCGTCACGAGGTCATATCTGTATCTTTTTTGTGTTTCTGGTGCTTCGCGGGATGTTAAGTTTTGTTGCTATTGGAAGAAAACGACAGCTAGGGCCTGTGTTGTTTAGAAGTCCCACTTGTGTCTTTTCAACTACTTGCCTTCGGTCCCGTTGGGCAGGCGTACCAACCGTGAAGACGAACACGATGACATTTGGTATGGCGCTACAGCAGAGGTCATCCCGATACAATGCCGATACTCAGTACGGATAGTAGAAGGTACTGAGCGGACACCGGAACATTTGGTTTACATGTGCCAACAACGACAACGACTACAACAAGCACGTGTCGCCCCGGTTTAACCGGCATGGTGCCAGGTACCCGGCATTGTTCAGAGTATGAGAGACGAGTTGAATATTCCGTCTGTGCCGATTTCACCGGCAATACCTGGTGCCCGACATTGTCGGGACCACATCCGCATTTGTCGAGGGCCCCAGCATCAAGTCGACTCCTGTGCCTACCTTGATGCTGTCTTCGTTTCACACACAACAGGTGACATCGTCCCCTCTGGACGCCTTGGATCCATTCTCGGCCCAGCAACAGCTTCCGTACCAGCAGCAGCAGCCCCCGCAGCAACAATATCAACCGCAAATGCAGCCGCTTTACCAGGGGCAGCAGCAGCAGCAGCAGCAGCAGCAGCAGCAGCAACCGTGCACTGGGCCAACGACGGTGGGTCACGGTAGTGGTGCCAGATCTGGCGCGCTGAATGTTTTGGTTACCTCTTGTTCTGTTCAAAGCTTGTTACGGGGACGGTGCTGAACACTGTGTTTACGCCCATGAGTTTCAGCCGTTCGAAGAAGACTGTGTTTTCAACGATGCCTTTGGGAGTTGACGCTGTTGCTGCTGCTGCTACCGCTGTTGTGCCTCGCTGTTGGTGTCCTGTTGAGCAGCAGCAGCAGCAGCAGCAGCCGCCACCGCCACCGCCACCGCAAGTACAGGGGCAGGATCAACAGCAGCACGGATACGCGAACCAGCAGCAGCAGCAGCCTCAATATTTGGAGCAACAACAGCAACAACCACTGCAGCAGCAACAGCAGCAGCCTCAAGCGCAGCAGCCGTTCCCATAGCGGACTCTCGGTCGGTATTATATGTGGCTGTGCCCGTTTGACTTCGTCAGACGGCGTCGGCTGATTGACCCGACAGGATTGTACATGTTTCAGCTCCATGGGCTTGGTGCGATGGATCCCACGCCTTTCTTCTGTCTGTTTCAAGTGCCATTCGATGTCCGTCGTGTTGCCCCCCTGGTCGAATCTGTTGTGTATCTGCTTCGGCGCCAAGCCTCGCTTGTGTGTACAGAACGCGCCGCCTCTTTTTGAGAGCTTGGGAAGTTGGTTGAAGCCTCAAGAGGGTCGAAAACATGAAGCACGTGAGCGCTCGACCATAAGAAGAACAGGTGCTCAGTGAAGACCCGTAACCTTGAGAACCTGGGAGTGGGTTGATTGAGGACCTACGGCTTGAAAATAAGAAAAATAAGCACTCGATCTTAAGACAAGGTACTCAGTCGAGAATCTTAGCGTTGTGTTTCTCCAAAGAGGAAATAAGAAGAACCGTGCCTCGGGCTAAGAAGGAAATTATTTTGTGGCGCTACCTTACATAATTTTTTTCCCTTTGGTGCGGCAGTGGTAGCAAGAGAAGCAGGAGCCCCCCCACCCTTGGTCGCGAGGAGGTTTGTGCGTATGTCCGAAATGCATTAGAGCCCCCTGTCGCTACAATTACGTGTTTCTTGCTTATTGCACAGAGCGTAAGTGGCGATAGCAGCATTGGTAGACATACGTACGTTGCTCATTCTTTCCATCTCCGTTTGGCACGTATCAAAGCCCAATTGGCAGTACATGTTAGCAGCAGTGGTCGACATGCGTTGTGCGTTGTTTCCGTTTCCATCGGTGTGTATCAGAGCACACTTGGCAATCCATGTAGCAGCATACGTGGATGTATGTTGTTCATTCTCTCATAGATACCCCGGCTAACGGGGACTTGTTGGTTGTGCGCTAGCTAGATTTAGCGAGAGGAACTTTTGTGGGGACAATTTCGTGATTACAGTTTTGGCAGTGGGATCCAGTCGCTACAACGTAGTGAACTGATGGATGTATGGACGCTGGATACGCATGCACCCACTGTATTTCCCGAAACCGTTTTCTCGCGATGGCTGAAGAGGCGTGCTCTTGAGAAGAGGCCACCCCCAACCCCGGGGACAACTATTTATATGTTCAGAATTGGTTTGTGGTTGATGGAAGTTGCTATACTCCAATCGCCGTGACGTGTTGCGGAAAGTCAGAAGTTGCCATGCTCCGCGTACACAAGCGGATTATCGTCACTCCTGAGTGGGTGATGGAAGTTGCTATACTCCAATCGCCGTGACGTGTTGCGGAAAGAAAGTCAGAAGTTGCCATGCTCCGCGTACACAAGCGGATTATCGTCACTCCTGGGTGGGGTGTGAGCAGCACGGCACTTGGAGGAACCCCTTGAGAATGGAGGATCAGCAGTATTCGGATTCTTGTCTAGCAGATTCGTGAAGCACCTGGCGGAAGGCTCCTTGAGCCGCCTTCTCTTCAATCAAAAGTTGTTTGTCGAGTGTTCCACCAGGGGGCGAGGGTTGTGTGAGCGGTTTTCGGAACAAGAATGCATGGACGCCCGTGGAAACCCCTCGCGAGTGACCGCGGATGGCAGGCGTGTCAGCAGGCAAAGGAAGGCGAAGAGGACAGCCATGCGGTAGCTTGAGCGTGAACGTCGCGAGCGTGGGCTACTGTACAATGGTTTCCAGTTTGTTTTCGATGAGAAAAATCCTCCGTGTTATTCCGAACGCGCGGTTTTCGGCTTCGAAACAACAGACAGATGGCGGAAAGGGGTTTTCGATTCCTTCGCAAACGATTTGTTTCAACAAGACTTACGCGTAGGCCGTTGATTGTGGTCGTCTTGACAAAAACACCTCCCGACTGTGCGAACCCAAAATGCGGGCTTGTCTGTCTCCATCTCCGTGTGTGTGTCTCTCTTCGTTTAGGCCCATCCAAGGAAAGACAAGTGCCGTAGTCACAGACCGGCAGAGCGAAGTGCCGAGCATGGAGCAAATAAATCGCCAAAGGCACGTTTAATTGCCCCGACCTCAAGATCAGAAGGGCGGGGGCGTGCTCATGATCTTCTGCCTTGGCTACTAGGCCCTTGAAAAGATGAGGTAGGAACTAAATACTTCCATGGCCAAGAAAAAGCACCGTTTCCGTCATCGGCTTCTCTCGATCTAGTCGTTTCAAGCGTCAACGTGTAAGACTCGAAATAAGCCCAGTACCCCGCCGGTTTCCCTCCAATTCACTGCAGAGGTTCCACCAACACATCCCCTTCGACTGCTGTGGATATATCTCGAACGAGATGTCTTTTCTGTGTTCGTATTTATTTTTCCGAACCAACAATATAGCGCGGGTGCAAGCAATACCGTATATGACACAAGATAACACACCCCCTGGACCGATTTTCAAAGCTCGATTACTCCACGACGAAGAGGATGCATAAATGAAACAATACGTTTTCGAACAGCTCTCGACGAGACGGTTCCAACGCCGCCGTTTTCGGCGCTGTGACTCTTCCTGCTGTTGAGAAATCGAGCTTTGAAAATCGGCCAAGGGGGTGTGTTATCTTGTGTCATATACGGTAACCTGAGGTGACGCACGAGATGTCTTTCTGTGTTCGTATTTATTTTTCCGAACCAACAATATAGCGCGGGTGCAAGCAATAACCTGAGGTGACGCACGAGATGTCTTCCTGTGTTTGTATTTATTTTTCCGAACCAACGAAAATATACAATTGTAGCGCGGGTGCAAGCAATAACCTGAGGTGACGCACGCACGAAGTCCCCCCGCAACTGCCGACACAGATACCATACATTGTACACTACATTGTACACCGCATGGGTTTCCAAAAATAAAGAGGATCAATTCCTGGCGGAATTGGTCAGTACCGCCTCACCTCCTATCTTTCCTTTCCTGCCCCCCCCGTCTGGATCCTGTACAACTCTCCCACACTTCCCTCTCCATGTACAAAGCGCGCCCCCAACGGTTATAAACAGGCCGCACGCGCTGCCGCTCGCGTCACACTGGCATGCCACTGCCGCAATCAGAAAATGAGGCAACGCGCGCCTCCGCAGAGCCGCCAGCAATGACCTTACGTGTCCGGCATTGCGGTGTTGCTGCTACTGCTGCTGCTGCCGCGATGTCTCTGCAGCCGGCCCATGATCTTGCCCCAGAAGTGACCAGGCTGGTCGGGGTGATTCTGGCTTTCCAGCACGCTCTCCAGATCGCACGCCGCTAGCTCCCACGCGCCCCCAAGCACCTCCGCTTCCAGCTGGCCTGGGCCCCACCCTGAATATCTCGAAAAAAACTGACGGGGGGGGGGCGGGGGTGTACTCATAGTCGTGCATGCCGTAGTCGTTAGACTATTGACCTCGCATCCCTACAAAGCCGGGACGGTGCACGCCGGGTTCTCACCGGACCAGGCTCTCACATCACTAAGCGCGAAGCACCGTGAGGTATTCGGTGAGTTGCATGAAAGGGTGCGCTGCATCCTGCTAGGGATGTTCGGCATCTTGTACTTGCTTCCTTGCGTAGGGATGACAGCTGCGTATGACATGATTTATTTTCTGGTGCTTTCGCTTCCAGAGACAGCAGTTATAAGCGCTGTGTAACTGCCTCGAGGGTGCTTGACCAATTTAACACAACGTGGTGCGATCGTCCCCTTTTGCGCGGAGTGAGGGTTCTCGACCCCGCACAACATAATCTACTCGGGGCGGGGGGGATAATCGTGTAAACGCATGCCGTAGTCGTTACACCATTGGCCTCGCATCCCTTGGGCGTCCCCTCATGTTTTGAAAGCTTTAGCTGTTAGACAATTGACCACGCGTGCTCGAGAGGACGGAGCATTGTTCCCTCAGGACCGATCAACGATGGCCAATCGTTCCTTCCTACTATAATATAATAGCCCTCGCATTATTAATAGCCATAATAGTGACCCCCGAAAGCGGTGTATTGTACACGTAGGCGC